CGTTGTCCCTGCTTGTGCTCACTCTCTGTCAAATAAGTAAAATCTTTAAAAAAAAATTAAAAGTGTAGTGCTTCAGTTTTATTAGCCATGTATCAAGTGTGCTGTAAAATCACATGTAGATGGCTACTATATTGGAAAGTGCAGATACAGACTATTTCCATCATCATAGAATGGTCTGTTGAATAGACAGCATGTTTAGAGAATACAGAGTATGGGAATTTTAATATTTTCAATTTAACTATGATGGTTAATTTTTCTGTTGAAGTTTTTGCCTGTTTCTTACCAATTGACAAAATTTTAAGAGCTACTAATGTCCATAAAGGTCATCAGCTTGTCGGTTCTATTTTTTTTTTTTAATTTAAATTGAATTAGCCAACCTATAGTACATCACTAGTTTTAGATGTAGTGTTCAACAATCCATCAGTTGCGTATGACACCCAGTGTGTCATTTCTATTTGTAACAAAAAATATAAGCAAATCGGATGTTAACTTAGACTTATTTGGTGATCATTTTGCAGTATATACACATACTGAATTATGTTGCATACCTGAAATTAATATAATGTTATGTCAATTATATCTCAAAAATGTAAGTAAATTATTAGCAAATTGTGGGTTATAAATTTTAGTTTTAAATACACCAGCTCTGTATGATCCACTACAGTAGCCACTAACCATAAGTGGCTCTTGAGCACTTGAACGTGGCTAGTGTGAAGTGAGGTGTGCTGCAAGTATAAAATACACAGTATGTTTTGAATACTTAGTACAAAAAAATAAGACGTAAATTGAGTGAAGGGAGTCAAAAGGTACAGATTTCTAGCTATAAAATTAATAAGTCATGGGAATATAGTGTACATCATGGTGACTGCATTTAGTAATACTGTATTGCCTGTTAGAAAGTTGCTAAGAGAGTAAATCTTAAAAATTCTTACCACAAATTTTTTACAGGCATGTAAGGCAGTAGATGATAACTAGACTTATTGTGGTGATCATTTTACAATGTATACAAATATTGAATCACTGTGTTGCACAGTTGAAACTAATACAATGTTATATGTCATTTATGCCACAATTTTTTTTTTTTTAAAGATTTTATTTATTTATTTGACAGAGAGAGACACAGCCAGAGAGGGAACACAAGCAGGGGGAGTGGGAGAGGGAGAAGC